CCCAGCCCAAAAGCTTTTGTCATCAATATAACAACCTATGTGGATGCCACAAGCTACTGGGTGATCAGTAATTTCAATGTTCTTTTCATGTATTTTCCTAGGCCAATGAAATCTGCTGACAAGTAGAAAACCTGCTGACAAGTAGAAAAAAACAACCGAGTTCACTTTTTCTACCAGGTTCAGTCTATAAATTTGACCCAATCAAGATAGTAAACAAAATTTTTCACTGTAAGTCCTTCAGCTATTAGTATTAAACCATGGGTGTGCTGGGGAGCGGGTACTCCCTGGAATCCTCACACATGCACCTGTCTTTCCTTCCCCAGACACACTGCACAGGAAAAGCCAGCAGGAAAGCTTCACTCCTCTGACATTCACAGCCCTCCCTGTGAGAGGCTCCAGAGACTCTTTCAACACCACACTATGCAATAGCTTCCTCTCAGCAATTCAGGCATCATAATGTAGAACAACTTGCATGGATCCCACAAACCACCAATCAATCAATAACTTCCATCTTCCCCCTCAGGCCTTTCCCTAAACCTGCTGATAAGTAGAAAAGCCTATAGAGCTCACTTTCCAACCTACTTAAATGTCTAATCACATTAACAGACGGCATGAAGAAGAAAAAGGAGACGCTACCCAGGCTATAGGATCGCCACTCTTAACACCCAAGACCCAGATGAAACTACTTATCTGCAGGAAAAATTAAACTGGTTAAAATCCAGGCTTTGGGGCATAGTAAACATGTGAACATCGGTCAATTACTTAACATTTCTGTGCCTCAGTTTTCTCATCATTAAAATACTTCCAAAAATTATGTGCTATTAACTAAGATAATATATGCAAAGTACTTGGCATAATGTTTGACACACAACACTTGTCCACATTTATTATCATCTTTATGCATCTCTGAAGACAAAAACTATGCTTTGGCATCAAAAACCATGCTAGGAAGTCAGGTGATTTTGCATTTACAAAAATGGTTGTGTCATACCTGAGTGAATGGCATTCAAAATAACCCCGGATACCAGAAATCTGATATAATTCAGTTGGCTTCTTCCACCTACCAGGCACTATTTTCAAATGCATGGTGGGTTCAATTTCTATCCTCTGAGGGATCACAGATATGAAAAATTAACAGCCTTGAGGTATATGGAGAGTCATCAGTGTATGATCATATTTGCACAGTGTAACTTCCATTATGCTTTAGTGATATTTTTAAGCAGTTGAAAAACATTGTTTTCCACTCACGTCACGATAAAACGTAACTCCTTGTTTGACAGGACTGCATTCTTTGGCATCTGCTTACGTCATTACGGCAGAATTTTACTGTTTTTGAAAAATTCCTGCAATACTTAAGAACTGCTTGCCTGGACTATCTTACATATGTAGGTATGCATGTATGTATGTATGTATGTGGATATGTGTATATGAAAAGGAGACAAACAAGCTGCCCATTTCAGGTAGGCTCAGTCTAAATGAGTTTCAGTGGGGGTTCATGTTGCTTTGTTTGTCTTTGCTCCTAAGCATGGTGTTCGGGTTTTGAAATTTGCCTTTCAGCAAGTCGCTGCGTGCAGAGATTGCAAGTTTGGAATGACTTCTGACTTGGCGCCTCGGCCCATTTCCACCCTGTGTGAACGAGAGGCATCAGGGCCTGCTTGCCAGCCTGGGGAGGTTCTATTTACCGGGGACTTACAGTCTGCAGAGACTAGTTACCTAAGCTGTTTGTTGCAACACACAAGGGAGTGAATGAAGGCAGATGATACCAAACGTAAGAATTGTGTTGGATTGCGTCCTCTGCAGTTGCTTTCTCATCTACCAAAAATCTAGTTTTCCAGATGCCTACCAGTCAAAAACCTAAAATGTACCAATAAAATCTGACTGGAAGAAAAAAACATATAAAATAAAATTTTTAAAAATAGCAACTAATTGCCTATAACAACATTTTCAATAAACAGTATCATTTCTATAAAAAAAAAAAAAAAGACACTATAGGGAGAGTCTTTTGAGTCACTAATTATATTTTTCTGAATGATTTCTCAAGTCCTTCAGACCAGCCTCGCTACTCTGGGAGCAGAATGTACCAATGGAATTACAACTCTTATTCTCAGCATGGCCAAGTTTCAACTAGGGGTGTAGTCTAAAGTGTCATCTTCATTTTTCTATTGCCCAACTAGCCCTGTAGTCTAGAGAGGATTTTAACTCTGAAACAGGACCCAATTTCCATGATACTACGCTAGAGTGATACACAGAATTAGTTACATAGAGAAAGCACTTTACATTGATACTGATGTTGAGGATAACTCTGAGACCTACACTAGAATGCATCTGCTTTCCAAATATTTTCATTTCACGGTAGAGACAAATGTCTAATGCTTAGTTCTCTTTTACTAAATCTAAGTGCTACAACATGAAAAATTAGCAATAAAAATTGCATGCAAGAAATGTTAGTCCAAGAATTTAAAGTTAGATTCTGAAGCCAGCCTGGGTTCACATCTTTTTTTTTTTTTTTTTTGTGCTGGGACTCAAACTCAGACCCTCGCGTCTGCCAGGCAGGTGCTTGTGCTTTGAGCTATAACCCTGGCCCTGGGTTCACATCTTGACAGCACCACTTCTTCATTTTGCCATCTTAGTCAAATTTCTTAGTTTCTCTGTACATCAGTTTTCTCCACAATGAAATGAACAATATAGTCACCACTGAATTAAGTGTCTGGCATGCCATATGAGGTCAAAAATATGTACTATCATTTATGATCCAGTTTTAATCTTTCAATATTGTAGCTAGATATGAGAACCAAAGAAACACAAGAATAATTTTTAAGCCAGTAAAAACATCTAAACAATCATGTGGAAGTTATTCCTTCTCTAACATAAGAGAGAAGAACTGCTTCTAAGGATTCTTTGAATTGCTCTACAGAACAACAATTTTATATAATTACAGTTCAATGTACATTTTATACTCTATTGATTATAAGATGAATTGAAGTTGGGCATAATATTCTGGCTCTTATTTATTAAAATAAAAGTTCCAGGCTGAGGAACAACTAGTGTATAAGAGAGTAAGATATGGTTACAAATATTGTGGACAAAGAAAAAGGAAAGGTGGTCTTCAATACCTTTCTCCTCTACTGCACATGATCAAATTTTGGCAAACTGCAATCTTCCTCTGTTCCAGGATACTCACGGGAAAAGCAAGAGAGCCGCCTTCAGTTCTGATAACAAACCAATAAGCTAGCTTCCGGTTTGAGGCTTACGCAGTCCAAAAGACTGACAAACACACTTTCAGTGTTTGAAATATCCCGTAATTTTCTTCTTTCTACCTACAATCACTCTGCAGCTAATTATTATTCCAGTATGATAATAGGTCCATAGTTAAAAAAAAAGCTCTTCATCTCCTTCAAATATTGTCTTTTTATTGAAAGCCCTCTAGATTAGGTCCAGGAGGACTTGTTGCACTGTTTCTCCAGGTTTTTTTTCTTCCTAATTTATTAGAATTGTAAGAGCAGTCCATAATTTTCTCTGTGGGTTTCTACATGCTATCAGGTGGCACCAATTAGTTTAAGAGAACCATCCCCAGACATTGTATTTCTGTCTTAGAGATTTCACAAGAGGCATTTGATGCAACTGAAAACTGCTTAAAAACAATAAATTGGTAAAGATGAGTTGTTGAAAGGAGCTAATAAAGTCCTATCAGTATTGTTAGCAAATTGATGATCAGCATCTTAAACCAGGATATTTCAAAGAGTATTTGCCCTACTTATACGTTGAATGTATTATTTCCAAAGTTCATGCATTATTTCTTATATCTTATATACTTGAGATATAGATGAATTCATAAATTCCAACAGCACACAATGAAATCAATTTGTTCTAAAAGGGTAGCATATACTCATTATGAATATAATAAAATTTTGGAGTTTTCATCACAATTTAATCAAATCTCTCCAACAACTGTGCAGAATGATGTGCAGAAATCCTTTAGAAAGGTGTTATTCAAATATAGGAATTACTTATTGTAGCACCAAGAGTTTACATGCTTTACACCAAATGAGTTGATATTTTCTTTTGAATTATACTAATGTGCATGATTTACATGTTCTTGTTTCACAGGACCAAGTAGTTTTAAAAAGTCACTAACTTGTTACTCTCTTTATAAAATAATTCAGCATTGGATTATTTTATATAGTCAATTACTATAATTTACTTGAAATACAATCTGATTTATAAAAATTTGATTTATAATAAGTTTGTTGGTGATGGCTGCTTTGGGAAACTTGAAATATGTAACTCAACTTTTACTCTTTGACTAAAAAAACTGGTTCCAAACAGAAAAAACAAAACCCAAGACATCATTGGTCTAGTCACTGGACCTAAAACCCTCATCCTATCACTTCTGAGTATTTCTCTGAATTCTTTCTGCAATTCTGTTCTGTGCCCGAAGGAAAATAATGAACTAAATTGAGAATTCTGCCTGTTTTATAATTTGGCAATGACAAAATGAAACTAAAATAGCTCTATTTAGAAAACAATCTTCTGGTAGACAAAACATGTTGACACATTTCTACCATTCAACTATCAGCCTTAAAAGAGCAAAGAGATTTTTCTAGTCCTCTAGATTACCCTTGTTCAACTGATCAAATACAAGTCTATGGTTTCAATTACACAAGCAAAGAGTAATCTAGGCTGAGATTGCTGCCAGTTTATGCTGTGCATACCATGGTAAGATTCATGGTTTAATAATAAATGAATCAAAATTTTGTGAAAGTTTTAAAAATATATTCCGATTTCTGCATGCTTTTTTATTTCTCTTGGTAAATATTATAGAGTCAACATTTTGGTTTGAAAAACTGGGAGAAAAAGCACACAAACTGTGCACAGAAATACTTACAAGTGGAAACACTGTTCCAAAAGGTGAATTTTAGCATGAAACATTGAAGCAGTACCAAAATAAATATTGTTATTAACCCAAAAGTTAGAGAAACAAATAAATATGATCTACTTACATGTTGGTTTTGCTGTTGGAGGAAATTTTGTTCGGGTAATAGCCAAAATTATGAAAATAATGACTGGCCATAAGATCAAGACAAGTGTCCAAAACTGCAAAATAACAACGACAAAAATGTTAGTGAAAGGACAGTTAATGCTTAATTTTTTTACCAGTTTCGAATGCTTATATGTGATAATCTGAACAACTACTTTAAGGACAACAATACACAATATAATAACCATTGTTGAATTCATATTATCTTGTTTTTTGAAATTCTGTATTGTTTCTGATGTTTTTTATTATTTTTATTCTCTTTAAAATAAAAAATTTCTTTAAAATGTTAGTTATATTGCTGAAGCAAAAAACAAAAAGAACACTTAGTTCAAGAAGTTTGCCAGGCTATAATACCCATATGCAAGTATTTGTCTACAAACTTTATTAAGAAAGGAATGAGAGAATTTTTAAAATGCAAAAGACTTCACAAGAATGGTTTTTCCAGGCTTAGAACCTGGAAATGCTCTTCTGAATTTCCCCCTCTAGTCGATTCTCATGGCTGTCTCAAGAACGGTTATCTTAAAATACAAATCTTATTGGCAACTTTCTTACTTAAAAATCTTTTGCAATTTCACAGTTACCTGTTGAACAAAACTGAACATTTTGCATGGGACATATAAAACCCAGCATAGGTTCAACTTGAAACCTCTATTACCACTTCCAGTGCCATGCTCAGCCATGAAGACTAGTGTATGAGTTTGGGTAATGGATCAGTAAATATTGTTGAATGAATCAGTGGCTGAATGAATGAACACAATGAATAATTGAGTCAAGGAGTGAATGAGTAAACTCGAAGCTCTTTGCAATCTTTCCAACAGCCCTCTCCCCAGTCCAAACCACTGTAAGTATCTTGTATCTGCTTCTATCATAGAATTGAACATACCATTACAGTCGACAATGTTTTTTGCCTGATTCCCAAAGTAAGCAGGCAGCTCTTCTATGGTAAGGACTCTGAGTTTTTATTACCTGATACAGAATAGTTAGCCAAAAACAAAATACTGCATTAAAATTTCTATCAGAGAATTTCACTGTACGGCACATTAGGAGCTGCGTTTTCCTCCCTATAAAGAGATGATTCTGCTCAAAAGTCGCTAACTGCTTAGTATTTTAAAACTGGTGCCAGAGCAGTGAAAAACACACATCACAAGAACATAACTGTGATATGCAAACAGTTATACTGCCGAAACCAAACCATACATTAAAAAACTTGCCTATTTTTTTTTTTGTCTTTTTTAAGACAGGGTCTCACTATGCAATTCAGGTAGCCCAGGCTGGTCTCAAACTTGCAACAATCCTCCCACTCAGCCTCCCCAGTGCTGGGATTACAAGTGTGTGCCACCACACCCAGCAAGCTTGCCTGTATTTTAAAAAGTTAAAGTTGGAACCATGTTTCAGCCTGGTTATGCGGTCAGACTTATCTTTCCTCCTATACTTTTCAGAGCCAATTTCTCCTGAAAAATCTCAAACTTTCCACCCAGGGCTCTTCAGTGCATTGAAGCAATCAAAAGCTAATCAATGATTGATCCTTCCTTATCTCCTAATCTAAATTTTCTACTACAATCTCCATTGCATGTCAAAGAGCGCTATTTTCCTAAATAGTAAACTTATCACCTACTTGTTAGACTTTGAGTGTAAAAGCAAGTTCTAAAAAATTAGAATTTCACCGCATGTCTAAGGAATTCTAAGGTGTTTGATTTACTCATTGGTTTAATGCAGCCAGAGAGGCCAAATTGCTTAACCTAAAATCACACTTCTCAGACATTAACATGTACAATAAGCCATGTAGATTTAGTGTCTTTGGATTTGAGGTGGGGCCTGAGATTCTGAATTTCTACCAAGGTAGGTGATACTGCTGGCCCATGGATTATCCACCTTGGTCAGAATGGAGTTAGTTCTATTCTATCCCACCTTATTAGCAAGACTATTTATAAAGTCCTGGAATATTTTTGTTTGAAAGTTTCTGTGAGATCATTTAATAGATTTTAGGGTACTTGTCAACTTGAATTTAAAACTTATATTTTTATTTTCTCTAGTGTATAATTGAAATTTCCACTAATGATGAATGTAGGCAGGGAAGCACACAGTGTTATTACAAGTATTTGTAACTTTGTCACCAATGGAAATCATAGATATTTTCGAATCACATGAAGATTGTTATAGATACCCCAAAGTACTATTTACATCACTATGTTAAAATTATTGTAACCATGAGTTCACCACTAGACCTTGCTTTAATGTTACAATATTAATAGCACTGCAGTTAATCCTAAAATAAATGCATTCTGTCATAATGCACATAATTTTCTCCTTTAATATTTTGACAGCTGAGTGGCAATGTAACTAGTCTTATTTATAATATATTTTACTTTATTTCATTTCATTTTATTGTAAGTTTAAAAACATTATTCTTACAGGGGCCATATACTTCATCATGCTGCCAAAGACATTATGGTATCAAAGATACTAAGGACTCCTTGATCTAATAAAAATAAAACACACTGGTTCTATTCTCTGGGCAAGGAAGGCTCGCTCAACTTGCCCAAAGTTACGTATTCAATTGGAAAGCAGAACAGAGGTCAAAGACCTGAATCTCAACATAAACTGGGTAGGATTTTTTATAATTATTGTGTTGCTGTTAGACACAAAGAAGAAAATATGGCCAACAGAGTGCTGGAACAATAGGAGCACCACAGAAATACAAGCTGTGCTATTGCTCTAGCCTAATCTCTGATAGTGAAAAGTAAAGTCTGTTTTTCAAATATCCTTGATGCAAGGTACCAACCATATTTTATATGGCTCATTTGAAATGTAAACTCTAAAGAAATAAGGTTAGAAAATTAACATTTGGAAATTTATCGGTTTGGTATTTGAGGCCATGGGTATTCTTTAAAGAAAGTGCTCCTCTGAACAGGCTTGGTGCTCCACAGCTGCTCTGAGAAAAGCCTATTCATTTTCTATGGCAACTTCATGAGAATTCTGAGACCAAGATCAACATACCAACACAAATAAACACCCTCATTCAAATAGGGGACATATGCTATCAGATATCTTTAAGTTATGCTTGGTTGATAGAATTTGATGATTTTTTTATAAGGGATATTTTGGCAAATTCTGAAAGTAATTTTAGACATGTTCTAAACCTAGAGAAAAAAAATGCAGCCTATATCAAAGAAGTTTAAGATATTTATACTTTGTTAAAGGCAAAATCCACAGCCAGTCCATAGATAATACTGTGAAAACAAGCTCTCCCTGGGTCAAAGAGATTTGAGAATATCTCTGTATGCTTCATTTCTGAGGAATAATAAATATAAAGCTTTCTACACTATCATCTTGGGGGTGCACTGATTGACAAATTAATCACAAAAGCAATAAATAAATAAAATTTGCATGCTTATACAGCAGGATTGCTCTCAATACTATTCTAAATATTATCATAAGCAACCTAGAAGGAAATACAATGCCAAGGACCCAAATACTAAACCAATGACCCATAACTTTTTTGTTTGTTTGAAGAAGGGGCAAATGTATTGATTTTTACACATATAGACTAGAAAGCTACTTAAACACTGGGTGTAAAGTAGTTTTTAAAGGTTTAGTATTTTCCTAATATTTTCATTATGTCACTACCTGTATACCTTATTTGCATTTTACCGCTTGCATTGTTGACAACGTCTAAGAACACACACACACTGAATAACTGACAAGTCCTTTAGTGAGCTTTTGAGTTCTCTGATTGCTCCAGGGTTTATTCTCTACTGAGATGTCCATTATGATCTTTCTCTTTCTCCTTTCCCGAAAAATTGAGTGAAAACGTCTTTAAGTGAGATCTTGTGCGGTGAGATTCTTCTCTAGAACTGGGGGAAACAGTACCTGGTGGGGGAAACACTTCCCCAACAGAGCAAAGAGGACCTGAACAGTGAGACAGGCAGATGTGGGGTCTCAGAGCCCAAGTGGGGTGAAGGTGTCAGAGTGGGAAGAGAAGGCAGAAGTAGCAGCAGTGATTAGTTTTGTACGGGGAAGCTGGCCAAAAAAATTCCCCAGGAGGGGACTTAGAAACATGGAAAAGAAAGAAACTAGGATGAATGCTGCAGTGTTGGGTTGCAATTAAAAATACGGACATTAACTATACAGTTCCAAAATGTAAAGAGACATAAAATACAATATAAATGTATGTGTGACTTATTACCTTTCTGATTACACAAGTTCTTTAGGCCTCATTTTGTACTTTGTCCCAGCCGTGAAAATACTCATTTTCATACAGTTGCTAGCTGCCCATGCTGGTCTTGAATTTGCAAACCTCTTGCCTCAGTTTCTCAGAATTATGAGATTGCAGGCATGTAGCCCCACAGCTGGTTATTACTAGCTTATTTTAGTGGACATCTTGGGACTACATCTGAGCACTGCTATTGGGGAGTTACTATTTCTAAGTCAGGACACACCTAGACAATATCTGTAAAAGATAAAGATAGATAACTAGCTAGATGGGATACAGGTAATGGGTAGGTAGGTGTAAGGGCAACAGATATGCTGCTCTCAGACTGCCAAAGAATGATGAGAACACATCCACAAAAACAAACACCAGCCTATGGACAAATCCAGCATCAAATTTGACTATTGACCAAATTCAAATATTCAAATACACTATAGTAGTATATGATGGACTAAACTAGGAATCCATAAGTCTATGCAGCTATAAATAAATACATAAGAAAGCAGAGAAATGGATTAAAGGCTTAGTGAAGAGAAGGATATGGACATAGTCTCCAAGCATTTCCCCATAAAGCAGGATAAATGGACATCATGGACCACTGGTGGAATGTAATGGGCAGAGGACAGTGTCTATTCTGTGAAATTCTTGTCAAAGATGAATAACCTGACATTTAAGATGGGAAAATAACAGATTCTCTACAAAACAACTGGTTGGGAAAGTTCCAGAGTATCTTGGTCTTGAAAGTCAAGGAGAAGCTAAGAGACTGCTCCAGATGGAAGGAGATGCCTATGTGAAAATGAGATACAGTACATATCTACGACAGTTCTGACACACAGTGGAGTTGAA